GGGGGTACGCGAAGACATCTTAGGGGGTACGTGAAATTTAAAAATATATTATTTTATGGCAAACACCGAATAATCAGTAATGTCATTTATTTAATTTATTTTAGATGTAGATTATATACTATGTATAACTTGAATTATACACCAACAACTTTGGGGGTACAAAGTTGAAGAGAAATTATATCTGGGGATACGCGAACAAAAAAGGTTGAATACCACTGGTATAGACAGACAAATATTCGGTCGCAAGAAAGTAGTTGACAATGCAAAATCGACTCTGATTTATTCTTTCAAGTAACTGACTAGATTTTCGGAACCTTGTGAACATAACCAGACTGCAAATATTTTGGACTAAATAATATTCTTGATCAGAAAGGTAATTAATAGTTTGAGTTTCATGATTTGTGGAGAACTGTCACTGTAGTTTGTCAGACACTGCATGAGGGCGTAAGGTATGGAGTTTAGCTTAATAACACGACAGAATAAAGTTTATATTTTTCAGTCTATTTGCAGACATGGAACTAAATTCTTTATGGAAGATCAGTTTTCTTACTTACTCATCGATGTTCATAGAGCCAAATTTTGAATCATATTTTTCTCAACGTAACCGATTTCTTTTTTTCAACGTAGAAACAGCTTTTTCTAGACATATGACCTACTTTAGAGTTAAATACCCTAGTTAAAATTCTAAGAATTCGATTTGTTTGGAAAGTGTAAATATTTATAAGATGTGGTTTTGGAAGTGTCTCAAGAACTCACATTAGAATTGAGATCAGATCTTTCTTGTTATTTGGTTTTTGACTTAGTAAAGAACACTAACGCAAGACACATAAGAAATTTTCGAAACCTTTTACAACATCCAAGTAGTCTGCAAATTAAGTACTTAAGATTCTTCTAAAGTGTATTTGAATTGTGTAACATCTTCATGACACTTTGTTAATATACGAGGTGCGATCGGAAAGTTTCAAGACTGCGCGTATAAAATCCCGTACACTTATCTCAGGTATTAAATTCATCCATCACCCTCGAAGTAGTTCCCCTGCGAGTGAACACAACGATCCCAGCGCCGCTGCCAAGCCTGGAAGCATCCCTGGAAATCTTTCTTTGTCAGCCTGTCAAGCACCATCTGCGATTCTGCCTGAATCTCTTCTATCGTCTCAAATCTCCTTCCCGTTAGCTGAATTTTCATCCTTGGGAAGAGGAAGAAGTTACACGGCGAATAAGGAGAGTGCGGGATGACGGCCATGGTGTTTGAGGCCAAAAACTGGCGAACTTTGAGGGCGGTGTGCGCTGGCGCGTTGTCATGATGCGTCGCATGTGGAGTTCTTCCTTTAGAATCAGCTGACAGGTCCCATAGCCTATCCCAACAATGTCGCACAAGTCGTTGATGGTACGACGTCGATCTTCGTGAATGGCCTGCCGAATCTTCGTAACATTTTCGGGCGTTGTGCTCGAAGATGGTCGTCCAGAATGCTCGTCATCATCGACAGAGGTTCGGCCGTTTTTAAAACGTGAATGCCACACAAAAGTTTGTGCACGACCCATTGCGGACTCCCCAAATGCTTGCTTTAGCATTTTATAGGTTTCCGTAGCCGTTTTGGCGAGTGTTTGGCAAAATTTGATGCTCACGCCATTCCGAAATCGCAGGACGGTCGGTGTAATGCACTACCAAAACGCCCGTAACTAAGAAACAAATGCTAATTCGATGATGCCGGCTGGCACACTGATTCACTATGAATGTAGGCCGCACCCCCTAGCGGCAGAAGCTCGTACTACATCCGGTTCGCCCTCTATTGACACAGTCTTGAAACTTTCAGATCGCACCTCGTATCACTAATGTTACAAATCTGCGTTCTTTATTGATATATGTGAATGTAGAAAGGCCTATGTACTTACTGGACTCCAAGTAACACGTTGTTCGCCTCACCTGTGATGCATTACTGATCCTCTGTGTTTGGTATTGGGTGAGGACGTAGCATTAGGTCCTGAAGGTCCTACTGAGCTCTCGTTGATGGTATTTTCGACGTTGTGGTGACTCCCCGTGGAATTGGTACAGCTCATCTTCCTCGAAGCTTTTCTCCTAGCAGTTCCTGGCGATGCTGTCGGTGCAGCTGCACCAACGTGTGCCGTCGGTGGACTAAGATTGGGTCCTTCGTCACCGCTAGATTTACTCTGTTGACGGGGTAAGATGCTGGACTTTCTCGATATTTTTGGTTGAGATGTCTCTTTTTGGGTCATTACTGGGGAAGGTGGCGCACTAGTGGTTTGTGTTCTGGGAACTTCTAGTGTGTTTTCTGTTACGTCACTCTGACCTTGGATCGGGTTATTTCCTTCGTTTACAGAGTATTGTAAAATTTGAGACGGATTTAAATTATCTTGAGACGTTGGGATATTTGTCGTGTTTGAAGACGAAGTATTTGGCACTGAGAGGTTTGCCGATTGCGCTGAAGAGACGTTTACAAGGAGTGTATTGCCAGGGATATCGGATGATATTGGAAAGTATTCTACGCTACCGGAAGTGGGCCTACCAGATGGAAGTACAACGGATGTGTTACCAGGAACATAGGTCATGAAAGGTGCGTTGCTCGGCACAGAAGTTTTTGGTGTAGGCACGTGAGACTCGTTAATAGACAACGGATTATTAGGCGAATAACTGGGATGTGAGTGCGTATTATTATTTTGTGGTAAACTGGATGCGTTGTTAGCTCCTGAGGAAGTTGCTGATTGATTTGTTGAGAAAGGTGCGATGGTAGTTGGTAAAGAGTTCGACGTTCCTGGAAAAGGAGCACTGGATGAATTTGGCACATACGTTAATTCATTAAACGTAATGTTTGTTGGCTGAGAACTTTGTGTATATGACGCGTTTGTGTGGGAATAAGGGCTGCATGCTCTAGAATTACGTGTTCCTTGTTGAAGGAAAAATTGTTGATTATCAGGTGAAGGTAAGATTGTGAAGTCAGGTTCGAGAATTTTTATTCCTTGATACTGAGGTAAATTTGGTGTATTGTAACAGTGAACGCTCTGTTCATTGTGAGGAATGAAGTCTTGATAGATAAGGGTATGATTTGCGTTCGGAATATTTGATATGAAGGGGTTGGCATGCACTGGTGTAAATGGTGTCCGAGGGTAACCGTATGGCGATGTGTTATTTGGTGATGATGTTCGGAAATTTCCCACGAAAGGATTGCTTTGTAATTGGGATGATGGTGATGATTTTGAATGGAAGTCTGCAGAATCTGTAGATTCATCTGTGGTACTGAGAAACGGAGCGTTATGGCATTTTGATTTTCGATTTGGAAGCTTCGAGAAAATGTTTGGCGTATGGTTTGAAATTTCTGGAGATGACTGGGTTTCTTTAGGAGAATGTGGTTTTGTAATTTTGTTTTCTTGAACAGATGAGGTAAGTTGAGGTTCTTTGGAATTTTCTGTGATTATTCTCTTGGGGATTGCTTCGAGTTGAGGTGCGGACAGGGCATGTAATGCATCTAACTGTTGAGGGTGTGGGAATTTTGGGGATAATGCAGTTTTCTGTCTGCCAAAATCGAAAAGCCTTTCAGATGAAGTCTTCTTGAACTGTGTTTCTGATAGCGTGTTTTCGGAAGACATTTTTAGAGAAGATAATTTTGTAGACGTAGAATCACATGTTCCTATAATCGGCAGAGACGTATTGTGCTGAGCTCTGTCAGACACGCTGTCGAAAATATTTTCTAGCGACCTGTTTGTTTTCATATTTGGCTGCCTCAGACGAACATTGAGTTGTGAGCGGTACCTGTCAGTTGTAAAGCTGTCCAGTAACTTGGTAGTATTTTCGCCATTTTGGGCACGTGTTTTTGGTGCGTTTGACGTCTTATCATTATCTGTGCCTGCGGAGACGCCTGAAACGTGACCGAAATATATTTACTAAATTTATTTATAATTATGAATTAAAGTATTACACAACGCGATAGCAGTTATGAACACCGGTTCATTAATACTTATGACTTTAGCGAGGCTGAGATTTATTTAAAGTCTAATATACTAATATATTACTGAAATATTATATTTAGGACATTTTCAGTGACGTTACACAGTTCCGGATTTTATGTAACATGTAAATTGTATCAGAATGCAATGTTTTACCGATGGGAAATGATACTGATTTAGCTAGCCGGCGGGTTTCTTACTCGTAAAGCCAAATTAAAGGTTTCGATGTGATATAAAATGACTTGAAGCAAGTTAAATTATAAATTTTCACGGCGGTGATGAAGATAATTATATTCTTCGTGGTTTTGATGCCGTACAGTCTTGTCGATAGATGTAATCGTTTCGGAGAAAAAAACATATTCAGCCCTGAAAATGGAGGCAGTATGTCCCTCCAAAACGTTAACGTCGTCGTCTACATACGAGTCTGCACAACACCAAAACCCAAATCATAAAATCTAGCGACATCGTACATTTGAAAACATTTGTAAGGTTTATAAAATTCTCCTGTGTTGCTCACCAGCGCTTTCTGGAACGCAGGCAGATGCCAGTTCTTTTATTTCGTCTGGTTTCATAATCCTCAGAGTAGCTTTTGATCCAGCTAGATTCAAGACGGATGGAACGTCTTTTATATCTGCGTCAGCCGGCTTCATTCTGATGAATCTCTCGCCGGTATCCACTCCTTTGTAAAATCTCCGTTCCACATCACCTGCAAAAGAGACAGAGTAAAGGAAAAATCCATTACATTTTCCAGACAGGCAGATTATATTAAGTCGTATAATTTGATTGAATTTATTTAGCTTCATCACTTTGCACTGACGATTATACAGAATTGTTTATAATTAATTTAAATTATTGAATTCTGTTGTGTAATAAACTGTGAATAAATGTCTAGTGTGAGTTAGTACATCTTCTTTATTACAAATATAATCTTGCTTCATCACGTGTTTCGTTGTGAATTAGGCCATCTTCAGGTGCATTTCTTAGTATTGAACGGTTATGTAACTCGATGCAATATTCTGTCTCCATTGCCAATTTTTTTAAAAATCCAACATTTCTTAGAACATACATCGCCACATGAATATTAATGTCAAATCTATCATGTGAAAAGTAGGAAAAGATATAGAACGAAGTCCTTGAGAAACTGTTTGTTGCTGAGGGTATAATTAAATTTATCATATATTAATGTATTCTTACGATTCATTTATGTATTCACAGGAGGCCACTACTAAACCCTTACCATGATGAATCAGATTAATCCAGTAGAGTATTTATTCTCTAATCATTCAGATTTCCCGACAATTTTTTTAAACATTACTCATTTCACCCATGCACAGCCTCCTCATTATCCTATATTCTATTTTAGACCTCGCCATGCAATTATCGCTGGCCTTGGTTTAATTCTTTGGTAGGCGTAATCTCCTCTGCGGTTTGTTCCTGAGTAAAAGATCGAGGATCTCCGTGTTTACTATTTGACGGTTTCCTCTAATGTACTCTCAGAAACGAGTACGTGATTATTTTTTGATATAATTTAAAATTTCGTCGTCAGGACTCGAACCTATTACAGTTTTCGGTTTTTGCTTAGTTCTATAGTTTGTTTAAATCTCGTCAGTCAAATCACAATAAAATTCCTATTAAATATTAAAATATTACTAAAATTAACATTTAAATATTTAAAATGATGTTCTCTATCGAAATGTTCGATTTACATTAGAACATCATTAGATCGAACATTTCGATAGAGAACATCGTTTTAAATATTTAAATGTTAATTATAGTAATATTTTAATATTTAATAGGAATTTTATTGTGATTTGAGTGACAAGATTTAAACAAATATATATTTATCACAATATGACGCAACTTTATCATCTCTTAGTTTTATAGCTTGACGACACTTTGTAGTGAGTTCTGGCCACATCATCTCTTCTTTGCCTCAAGAAATGAACATGCCAAGTTTGGTTAAAATCGGTATATCCGTTCTTGAGCTATAAGTGACCAGGCGCATAAGCCCTGAATTTCAGCTCTGTATGTAAGGCGGGATTCTGCTTTAAAGGGTTAAAAAATCGGTTCATTCAGGATTGTTGTTGCTTTTGATTGGACCTGTACTTCTCCCTAATGTTTAAACTGCCTGTCCACCTAGATTTGTTTGTATACAGTTGGCTACAGTTAGATTCTTGTAAGACCTCAACAGATGTTTGCTCCAACCTCTGTCTTTCTCAAGAATAGAGCGTTGTTGAAATCTCAAACAGCGCCTAGGAGCGGTTTATCTCTCTACTGAAATATTTAAATATATTATAAATAACCGTTAAAGTCAATTATTCTTTTTATTCTTCATCTGCTGGCATTATTAAATAGGCCATCTCGCCTGTTCCATTTTTGCATGAATTCTCCAAAGCAGAGCTTTGTCAATATGGCGTGGAGCGTTCGTAGTTTTCTGGTATAGAACCTGACTATATAGAGTGTCCCATAAGTGCAGAGTCATAGGGTAACTTTGTTATTTGGCAAAAGTTGTAAAAATGTAAAGACGAATGATCGCAAATCATTTGTTTACAATCTCAAGTGTTTGAATATTGACCTAGGACGAGCCATTACGGCTGTATACTCGTTAAATTATTAATAATATTAAAAAGTTACGGAAATGTTGCCACTTTGCAATGACAGCGAACGTAGGATGTGTTTCGAAAATAGTATAAGGGGTAGTGAAGGGGACACCCCAGAATCTTTTTTGGGACACTCTGTAGTTTAATTTAACCTTGTGGAGAGGTGAGTTACGTACTTGATAAAGTTTTTATACAGTTCTGAAAGTTATGCTGAAATGTATTTGACGTATTTAAGACTCAGTCCGAGTATAAAATTGGGGGGAAAATAATTCGAACTTCAATAAATGTACGTGGATTCAAAATTTCAAGACTAGTCAGAAGTTTTGTAGAACAAAACGAAACGAAAATCTTATCGCCCACGTAACCCCATTATATCTTTAAAATAATATATCGATAGTTGTGTCAGTTCTCGGTTCATTTAACAACGCTGTATCTGCTGCTGAGTTTAAGGTTTACATGCGTCATGTTTGTGTTTTGGATTAAAATATGTAATAAAATACAGGTCAATACACAAAACTATATTTGGGTGTTAAAATTTAAAATTTAAATGTTAAAATTTAAAATTTAAATGTTAAAATTTTAAATTTTAATTTTTTTTAAAATTTTAAATTAGCGCCATTCATCACTATAAGGATGTTACATTTGAGCGCTTTCATTCATTTCACAACATGTTTCGATGTAATTAATCATCTTCAGGTGTTGTTGCTGCTGAGGTTGAACAACCGATTTCTGATACGTACTTTTTTTTATGAACGAGCTGTGATGGCTTCAAACATGAGACGATTAATACGAAGTAAACCACATTGTGTGTATCTCCTCTGTGTTTCGCCTGAGGATGTTTGAGGTTTGTGCAACAACCAGTGGCAGACCCGGAACTTTAACTAATACGGTTCGAGCACGTGTGTGTGTGGGAGTAATGACGTTGGAACGGTAATTGCAAAGAAAAGAAATGGGAACAATGTACTGCAGGGTGTTCAAAAATGTCTGTACACTACGTTGCAAGTCCACAACGAGCAGACGTTGACTACAGGTTTTTTTTGTTTGTAACTCAAAATTATTTTACACTTTGACGTGTTGAGGAGTAGTTACGGGTTAGAGAACATAATTTTCAATACTACAGATGTTGGATGTAATTAATGTCATACTTTATACCAGTGGTATTCAACCTTTCTTGTTCGCGTACCCCCAGATATAATTTCTCTTCAACTTTGTACCCCAAAAAGTTGTTGGTGTATAATTCAAGTTATGCATAGTATATAATCTACATCTAAAATAAATTAAATAAATTACTGATTATTCAGTGTTTATCATATAATAATATATTATTTTTAAATTTCACGTACCCCATAAGATGTCTTCGCGTACCCCCGGGGGTACACGTACCCCAGGTTTGAATACCACTTCTTTATACAACGTAGGAAACTTTTGGTTGGAAAACCTGAGGGGAAGAGACCGCTGGGGAGACCTAGACGTAGATGGGAGGATAATCTCAGGCGGGATCTATGGGAGATAGGAGTTGAAGGAGACTGGATTTTGTTGGCCCAGGACAGGGTCCGGTGGAGAGCTTTGGTTAATTCGGAGATGAACCTTCGGGTTCGGTAAGCCATCTAGATAGTTAGTTAGTTAGGAACTTTTGGACATCTGTATAACTTACCATGAAATAAGTTTCAGAACTTATTATAAAGTGGTAAATAACGTAATACTCTCTGCATGAATTACATATGTATTTTTATGTTGGGGGACACCGAATTTATACTCTGAGCTGTATGTATAGTATTTTATTATATTAATGTGTTTAAGTATCTTTTGCCTTTCAGTATGGTCATACAATCATGGTCGCTTGACGGGAGACAAAAAAGTGTTCATATTCTAGAGGCAATTTATGAAAAAAGGGCGCGTTTTTATAAAATGGGAGATAAAAAAGAAAATGTTTCTCTTGGAAGACAGCCGCAGGAGAATTATAGAATTTTCTATGAAAATAATTCGGAACAGGATTGTTCAAAAACTTACGCAGTGGCGCATCGCGGTACAGGAGGGCATGTTTAACTCAACTGATCATGTATCGAGGCTTTTCTCACCCAACGCTGTGATATCTGCGCCGTTAAACAAAACAAACATTCAGACAGACCGCGCAATTAGTTTTTGGTAGGCGCCAAGCCCTTAGGAAAACCCTGACTGCTCCAAGGGGGCTTCATCACCGAGGGAACTAAGTCACTTCAGGGAGCTGCACCCCCTCCCCTTGCCTGACCCCAAACAGGATTATTTAACCTCTTCGGTTTGTTCCAACTGGGGCATACCCCCCCTGAAAATCCTCTTCTTGGAGCTCTGCCCCCAGGATATTTGTCTTGTCTTTCTATTGAATGTTATTACTACTGGTACTACAGAACTTCGAATTGCAGTAGTTAGCATTCCTGAGTCTTATTTTGGAGATCATGAGTTGGTATCTTTGACGTAGACCGGATATCTCGACAAAAGTTTGTCATGCTCTGTCTCTCCAGAAAAATGTTTCTATGATAAGTCACAATTTGTCATGAATTTTGTCTTCCACGTCTTATCCATTCACACGTAAGTACGTATTCTTTGGTTGCAATGTCGTTGGGTAAAGCAACTGAGTGTCTCATGGATTTCGTATGTCTCTCCAGGAAAATGCTGATATAATTCCTTAAAATAGATCCCGGGATCCTTTAATTCCCCTCTTTCCGAATTCGCAATCACACAGGCATCCGATGCTTAAATAAACAGAGAAGGTGGCAAAGTTTCGTTAAGCGAACCCATAAATAAACCTACCAACCACTTAGCTTAGAGAGTATTAAAGAATATAACCTCGGTAACAGATACAGCATCGAATAATGAACTTCCGGTACTGAAGAGGAATCATAATCATTTCAGCACCCATCGTTACGTCAGAATCACTTGTCAGGAACATTCGGTTTTCTTTACAGTGGTAGGCCAGCGCATGGCTCAAGGCTACGCAAATAATCTGCTTTGCTTCATTCCTCGGTTCTAGGGATTTCCAGAATGTTCCGTGGTGGACTTACACGGTCTATTTGCGTTACGGATATTTACGTTAAATTTAAATTTCATTGTGTGTTTTTTTATTTTTGCAATAAAATTGTGAAATATTTGGTCATAGTTTGCAGTTTTTAAGTTGTCGTGGGAACAAGCCAAATAAATACGAGCATAATTTATATCTCACTTATCTCTTCGATGCGTGTCTTAAAAAATGTGTGGAGATCTTAGTTTTGGTTTTGAAGGAATTAATGATACGTGGAAATACATTATAAGTTATAACAGTTCAGTATCTGAGTCTGGTCTACGTGTAGTATGGTCGAAATTCGTTTATGATTTTAGAGGAGAATACTGCCTCCTCCATAATATCACCCTGATGATGGAGACAGCAAGTTCCTCTGAAACATCGATTAATTTTTACCAGACTACACAGTGCAGGATTCAGAAGATGATCATATTTAATAATTCAGTGGTCGGTGAATATAATTGGACGAATATGAAGAAGCAGGTAGTATTTGACGAAACGTTTGTGTGTTTAGTGGAGTCTTCGTCATTTTAGAACTCACCAATGACGGTTCCATAGTTGGAAATTGCCCTGGCCACGGTTATGTCCGGCACATCATGTGATACACCGGACAAGGCTATTATTAAGGAGTCGCGGGACACGTCCTCCAGGTTGATCTTGGCGCCTCGAATCGTCAGTCCAGTCTGCAAGAGGGCCCCGACGTTGTCTTCCTTCGCCAGACACACGTAGCAATTACCGTTAGCCACGCGTACCCCACAAACAGCGTCATCTAGCTTGGAGTCTATCTGTGTTTCCAAGGCATCGATGACTTCCTGTGCCTGAAGAAAAGAAAGTCATTCTTTAGCAAGTGACGTCCATCCTCCCCCAAAGAAATATGTCTTAGTGGATTACCGGGTTTTTACAATTCTAAAGCGTAAACCAAAAATTACGTGAGTCAAAACGCCTCACGTTACAAGTAGATTCGGTAGAAAACAAGTGTTCAGTGGAGAATACTCGTTAAGTGCGATTTTAAAGTAGACCTACCAATATTATTACCCTTTAAATATCAAGTTATTTTTACCATAATTGTTATAAATCTAACAGACGCAAAGTCATAAGGGACGCGCTAGGTACCTGTTACAAATGTAACCAAAATGACTATTACGTTTAATAACGTATAAGCACAGACGTTAATAACGAAATAATAATAATAATATTATAATCAAAAACAAAAATGGAACTTGTCTCTTAATTGATATAGCAATACCAACTGACAGAAATGTAATTAAGAATGAAGCGGAGATTATCTTGAAATACAAGAACCTTCTCATTGAAATACAGCGAATGTGGAAAGTGAAGGGAAAAGTAATCCAAATAATTATAGGAGCAACTGGAACTGTCTCCAAGTCACTTAGAAAATATTTGGCCAACATTCCGGGGGAACACATCACGGAATTTCAGAAAACTTCAATTTTAGAATCTTCATGCATCATTAGAAAGACGCTGTCATAAAATATATAGTCATCCCTCAAAATAAAACTATATAATACATGTAAGACATATTAAAAAAATGTATTTCGGATATATCTGCTGCAGGCAAGGTTTGTCTCGGGTACATGGAAGTAAATACCTTGTAAAATGGTGAATAGATGGAATAATCATAATATATTTCAGATAGAAATCTGGTAGAAACTATGACTTATCAATAGGAGTTATTAACACAACCTTCGTGTTCCTCAACTGACTTTTATGCTGATTTCCCTCGTAAATACTGCCCCAGCTGGTTTCCTGCATGCTGATCTAATCTGCCTCAAATTGCATTTAAAATCTGGTTTTGAGTAGATCAAAAGTAGCTTCTATGAGTTTGAATCCAAAACTATTACTTTCTGAACGTAACACAGAAATTTGTTCTAATTAAATTAATAACAAGGACAAATACTTCAGTTAGTTTTGAAGTCGTATTTCGTAACTGTGGATACTGGCAATTTGTAAACTCCGATTGAAGTTGTCGAAAGTTAGACAACTCTGACGTCAATGACATCTTGGAGAGAGGCAAATGACTGTCGTTAAGCGTAACAGACTCCCACTTAAGTTCCTCTCTTAATGTTCAAAGTATTCAAAGGGCTACTTCAGCATGAGAGGCTGATACTATTATCTGAATTACCTTAGCACTCAACAGATGGTAGTAGAATAGTACATTGTATTTGATTTATTTTGTAATGAACCAGTGAGACTTGGATATGTGACTCCATCCGGGACATCTGACCGTAAATGTTTTTCTAGTTTGACTTATTTCACTTATACGTGTCTGTAATTTTATTTTTTCACAAAATCCCCAGCATAATATTCTATTTAAATTAGTTAAATTATAATTAATATCCAGTGAAATAATATTGTTTTCGAATGAAAACCATAGAAAGTAGTTTTGTGGAAGATCTCAGTTGGAAAAGACATGTCCTATTATCGTTGCAACATCGATTTTATTTTCGAGATTTTGTTGAGTTCTAGTGTATCAAAATTTTTTTAGTCCGGTAAGGAGAAAGTTTATTGTCGATAAAATAAGTGATTTCTAAGCAGTCTCATGAATTCATTATGTTGAAATCGCCTTATCTTATGAGACCGATAGAGCACAGTAAAGGACTTCGAGATATGTCGACCTGCTTTCTTAAAATTCGTGTTAAAAATAACGTAATATGTGAAAATTTTTTTTGAAGACTGTGTTATTATAAACTTTGATAAAATAATACCACAGCAGTGCTGTGTTTTTGTTGATTTTCGGTGCATTTCGTCTCGACCTTGAACAAATGTTACGATTTAATTTTGACTGCGTCTTAAGCCGTTATTGCAGGACTCATGTTACAATCGATGGCCACCCAGAACGCCAACCATCGTCGCTTGTCGGCTTTCCTTTGAAATTCTGAATCTTTTCACCCGTTAATAAGCTTTCCTTTAGCTCGGATAGTAATCGCCATATTGAATGCAAACTTGGCTAGTTTTCTCGATCTTCGAAAATAGAAATCGGATCACAGATCTTTATTCTTCTGTGCTTTATTCTGTAAGGTAAAAAAAAAAAATATGAAATTTTAGTTTACGTCTCAAAAGGAGTTTGTAGCAATGTAAAGTGGTGAGGAATGCTAATAATATCAAATCTAAAACTTCTTGACGATGGTGAAGAGTCAATTGAATAAAAATTTACTTGGATATTATCCATCGTCTAGTAAATATAAAACGTAAAACGACGTTTCGGAGATGGGACTCTATCTCCGTCTTCAGGTCAGGAGATAGGGATTAGCTCTATCTAGTGGGCCCAACTGTGTAGGCACCTGAAGACGGAGATAGAGTCCCATCTCCGAAACGTCGTTTTACGTTTTATATTTACTAGACGATGGATAATATCCAAGAAAGGTCCGGAGATAGGGATTAGCTCTATCTAGTGGTCCCAACTGAGTAGGAACCTGAAGACGGAGATAGAGTCCCATCTCCGAAACGTCGTTTTACGTTTCATATTTACTAGACGATGGATAATATCCAAGAAAATTTTTATTCAATTATATTAAAATGAACTTAATTTAATGATATTTCTTTCAAAATTTAAATATTATACCTTTAAAATATGGTACGACAAAGTTACGTTTAGGAACTGAAATAATAGTTTTTAATTAAGTGGCTTCAACTTATTTCAGGGTGATATCTTGTACAAGATAAGTGATAAGACAAGATAAGAGCATTTAGGCTAACATAGCCGCGATCTGTTGCGTTTTTATTTTCACTCATTATTCTATTTAACCTCACTGCATGAATTATTTCAGTGTTTGATGTAATAAAATTGCATCAAACACCGACGCACTGGCCCTACAACTGAACAGCATGCTCCAACCGATAGGGTACGTTAGAATCAATTTGTACAATTTGTTGACGTAACGTTCTACACTTGCTTGATACTCGTGTTTTACCCATGTTAAAATGAATAAATAGGCAATGTGTTCAACACTTGTTAAAATATTCATAAACGTCCATGTAGTCTAATTACCGCTCGTTTGATCGTTATGAGTGTAGCTTGAATAGAATGATATCAATTTAAATAAGACAGTTTATATTTTAAAAATACGAAGAAGTAATAAATTGTTCTTAATTGTAACACTACAAGACTTGCTTTAAGAAAAACATCGAAGGCATATAATTTATTTAAATCGTACTTGGAAAATATGCAAAGCACAGACCTTGTTCTAATTGGAGTATATCTCACCAATCCTGTTATTCAACAAACAAACAAACAAACACATATATATATATATATATATATTTATATTATTTAGTGTTCTGTCTGACGACAGGTCCATATGAACAGGATCCTTCCATCCTTTTCTCGGACTGGGACCTGTTCATATACGTTCTTGGCAGATGATCCAGAAGTGGTTTGCCATTGCCTTCGTCTGTGTGTGAATGGAGTAATTGTTGGGACGCCACGGAGGAAAACCCCGTGTTGCCTAGACCACGATCTTGCCCAACACAAGTTATAAATTCCGGCACC